CCCAGAGGGACAGAGTCCTCTGAAAAKACTGAGGTGGTGACCTGTTGATTTACAGTGGATAAATAGCACAGTTACAACATTAAGAAAATATAGTCACTCAATGAGAAAAAAAAAAGATTGAAAGAAATGCTTTCTGTTCCTTAAGGAATATGAAAATAGCTAGATTAGAAAGGTGTCTGGAGAGATCTTTGAGCTCATTCTCTGCCTTCAGGCAGAACCAAACATACTTGAGCATACTTTACATTCCTGATGTATGTTGAGTTGTTTCTGAAAATACTTTCTACTGTGARTGAACCTCATTGTATCTTTCCCCTTCCCCTGTGGATATTTCTAACAGTTTGCAACCTTCCTGTTTCCAATGTTTTGTGCATTTGAAAATTAGCTATTGCTCATTTCTGTTGAATAGGCTGTGAGGATTTCTCCATAATATCTTTCTGATACCACTCTCCTGCTTATATTCACATTATGAGATCCCTTTACTTTGTCTTCTTTTCTTGTTTTTTTGTTTTGGTTTTTTTTTTCAATTTTCTTGTCATCAATAGTATGTCAGGCTCACTTAAGATCATGATACCACATGTGGAACAAACCAAACATAAAACCACTAAAAATACCCAAACAAACAAAACCAAAACCAAAACAAACAAACAAACAAGCAAACCCAACAAACCACACTAARCAAAACCAACCAACCAAAAACCCAAACAAAGAAAAGGTCATGGTTTTGTGTTATGAGTTGACAGAGTTAACCTGATGTAATTTAACAAATAGAAAAAGAGAGATCCAGATCAACAGACACCTACTAATCTGCCTTTAGCAGTTTTACTATGCTTTTGAGGAAAATAAGGAGTTATGTTGAAGTAAATGTAAGGTAGAGTAGAATGCAGCTGATTTTTATCAAGTTGATTGTTCAGGATTAACCTGATCTCCTTCTCTGATAAAGCACGGTATTTTTTTGTCTCAGACATGACAAAAGTAATAGATCTATTTTGTCAGATGCCAATAAAATATTTGATATATTGTAATGATGGAAATTATTAGCTAAACCAGGAAATATGGAGTTTGAGAGAGGAATTTCAAAGTAAGTTTTGAACTGTCAAATGGAATTGCCTCTCAATTTATACTGATGGGYTAATGACTAGCTCAGAGATGAGAGTTGCTCAGAGATCAGTGCCAGAGAAAATCCTATTTTATGTTTCAACCTTGACTCAAAATTAGGAATATCTTGATGAAACATGYTGATGATACAAATCAGCTTAGAAAATAACAAAGGTTTGGATGACRCCATGGAAGTTACAGTACAGAGTAATTCTGTTGAAAACAGGAGCAAGATTTTCTGTATGAAATGGAAGTCATTGGTTAGAAGTGACAAAAAGAAGAATGGGAATGTAGTGAAGGTGTTTAATGCATTGAGTAATCYCAGGATGACTTTGAGCCRYTATTTTTTGGTAGTCAGCAAAATGYTAYATGTTAAGCAAAATAATTTCAGTAAAGAAATACAAAAATGTTGATCAACTCTGAAATCACAAAACATTGATAAGACCTCCTCTAGAATACTCAGCAGAATGCAAATGCAAGCAGGAGAAGAATTACAAGGAAGAGCTATGGAAAATATCTTTTCCAACAGGAGAATTCTCACACAGCTATGGACTAAAAGAAGTTATGATTGTTCTCTGTGAAGTATTGAGATAGAAATCACAAATGGAAACAAACACTGTTTGATACACAAGACAATATTTCGAAATAAAATACCAAACAAAACAGCATTTGTAAACTCCCTGTGGATAAATTTTGGGGTGGAAATTAAAATAAAGTGTATCTCACTTGAAGGGGGACTTGCCTTTCAGAAGGAGCCGTAGAGCAAGAAAGTTCTCAAAATGTGGTATGCAATATTTTGCAAGTTCTTAAAATACAGTGTCCACAATGGGAAGAGACACTCTGAGCTGAGGAAATTACTTCCTGATCTGCTTTGTGATGGTTTCTAACTGCAGAGTCTGGTTTGGGAGGGAAGTCTTGTTTTGAAGGTTTGTTTTGTTTTCTTTTATTTTACTTTTTATGTAATGAAGCCTTATTCCTAAAGGAGAGGAAATAATTGAATTACCTAGAAACATAGTCTTTTAATACAAATAATCTGCAAATCAGGCATTCATTGAGGGTTTTTTTTAGGTTTAGAATGTAACATTTTGAGTCTCTACTTAATGATGAGCATAAGACAGATAAACTACATGATTGTATCTGCCTAAATGTACAAAGTTTTTAACAAGATGTATATGGAAATTCATATATTACTCTCATTCTATGGAAAGAAATGTGTTTGAAAAATAGTGGAGTTTACAGTAATAAATCTTATTCTTTATGATATGGTTTACTAAATCCAAACAGGGGTTTGTTTTTTTTTTTTTGTAATTTGTACATTCTGTATATCTAGCATTTCCTGTAAACTCTATTGTAGTAGGTAAGGTTTCTCCAAAATGTGAGCACCAGATTATGTTACACAAGTTTGCTAATGAATTTCATAGAATATAAATTTCATAATTCTATCTAATGAAATAAAGTAACAGAAAAGAAGGTGAAGGATGAATGTCAGGAAATGATCMTATAACCTGATTTAAACTTCAGTGTGCACTAACACTAAAATATTGTTTACTCTGTTTTTTTTAAATGCATCATCTTTAGAACAAGAAAAATCAGATGAGTAAAAAAAGAAATTTTGCAGATGCAGACTACACTAATCCAACCATCACACAGGAAGCATAAAATTAACATCAAGGAGTTTGCTGAATATCTCTGTTTTTATGACTTAATACACTCCATTAAATGATACAGATAAATATCTGGTTTTCATCTTTCTGAAGATTAAGTCATTTACCTCACTTATATAGTCAGTAATGCAGTCTCTTTACTAGTTATGCTGCAATAAAAGTAAGTTATACTGCACTAAAATGTGAAACTAGTTGTAAGCATTACATAGGAGAGTTCATATAAATATGTGGTGAAATTCACATAGAAAAATGTTTGGTTTGGTCATTGGAAAATTGTTTTCGAGTAATGTATGTTCAAATGTAAATGAAGAAGAAAATACATAAAAAGAAGTTATTTTGAAAAGCTGGAAAAAATACAAATCCATATTCAGATTTAGGAACTTTTGTAGTTATTTACAGCCTTGAATAAAAGTTACTTTTATGAGATTATTTTTGAAATGTCATTGCTCTTTGTTTTCTCTAGTCTTGCACCCAGCAGCTATGGATTCATGTAAATTGTTAATTGTTTGGATGTTTAGAAATATGCTATTGTATGCTTTCGTTTTTCTTCTGTGTTTTTGAGAACACAACTGAATAGCAGTAATCAGCTCTATCTATTCATTTAGCCTGCCACACTTATAAAAGTAAATWAATTCATTTAAACCATGCTGAAAACATAATTTATCTAACTGCAATAATTGCCTCAGGTAGTTTCACTGTATTTTACTGTGAAAATAAGATTTTTAAATGCTTTGTTTCTTGCTTTAGAAGAGTTCTTTTCTTTAAGAACTATTTTTAACCATGCCAGTATTTTCTGTTCTTTTTTGAAAAGAATGGGTAACCTTGAGTTCTAAAGGGAGGTATAGGATGTAAAACATCTGTATTCTGTATATTCTGAGGCACATGTACTGGCATGCRTAAAACAAAAATAATTTCTAAATGTGAGTACAAAATGTTCAATTCTCCAATGCATATTGTGACATGAGTTGTTCTTGATTGTTGAGCTGTGTATGCCAATGCTGTTAACTGGGAACTGAGGACACAAGAGACTGTCAGCTTATAGAGGAATGACCCAGACACTCCCATTTTCAAAGCTTTCCTTGGGTGTTGTTCATGAGAGTATTTTTAACTATCACAGGAATTTGATTAACTTCAGATTTATCTTAGAGATGAGAATACTTATTTTTAATGCATTTCTGAAAAGATTGGCTAATAAGGGGTCTCCTAGTTTTGATTTTTTAATGTCATAATTTAAAAAAAAAAATCTATTTGGCAAAAAAAAAAAAAAAAAAACAAAACAAAAAACATGAAAGGAAAGCTCCTTTGTTTCTTGATCAAAAAGGCAGAGCCTGTACTGAGTCTGATTGTAACTAATAATAAGAAAAAAATTTTCTTTGAAATGGTATTTCTAAACCATTTCAAGGAAAAGAAGCTTAATGGTTTCAGAGGTGAAAGTAAATGGCAATTCCTGGTTTTTACTATATTTGATTGAAAAGAGCCTGGCCAAACTCAAATCTTTAATATCACGTTTAGATAATATTTCAAACAATAAATATATGTTCAGCTATAACTTTGGTTTTTTAGTTCCACTTTTTCTTTTGCATTTCTTCCACTCTCCAGCAACAGAGTAGCTGGTGAAGAAAAGCAAGTGTGGGGGAAAAAGGGGAACGACACTGGCCATAAACCCCTGCAAAGGAAAAGTTTACACAACTTTTGTAACAAAACCAATAGTTTGCATTTGTAATGCAGCTTTACTAATTTTCTTGCATACTAGCCAGCAACCCTTGCATACTAACCTGCTTCCCTTTTATCCCAGTGCTRGCAACAGGAAGATGAACAGCAACCCAGTGGCATTTTGTTTTTAATGTCCAGTCAGCTGTGGGACTGGACTCCTTGGGCCGTGACACCACCTGCTCAGCAGGAGGAGGTGTGACTTGTGATGTTCTTTTYGTTGTGACAGCTGACTACCCATCATATGTAACTTAGAGTCCTGATTTATGATGATGAATCTATTCCACCTTTAATGTGCTTTTTTACTGTTTGTAAAAAGGCTTCAGCRAAGCCTTGATGAATCTTTTATGCAGTTGGGTTTTTTTGTTTGYTTTTGTTCAGATATAAATTCTGTTATTCTGYCTAAAATAACGAGTATTAAATACCAGTCAAGGACAAGATACACTGCTTGTGCAGCTCAATATTTTGCTGTGTGTAAATCTTGATGCTCATTTAGCTTTTTCTTTCTGTCTTTGCATCTCATCCTGACAGGTGTGTGCCCAATCACTGTGAACACGATGGAAAATGCACCCAGACGTGGGACAGCTTCAAGTGCACTTGCGATGGAACAAAATACAGCGGTGCCACTTGTCATAACTGTAAGCCACCCTGCAGTTTCAAAATTTCAGTGGAGTAGGGAAGTCTCTCATGTCTTTTGGTTGAGATAAAAAGTCAATGCCTTCTTTTCTGATTATTCAAGATCCTCAAGCCTTTTTAGAAAGGCTTAATCACATTCTACTTTATTTGCATCAGGCTGTATTTATGCAGCATTGCGCTGCACCATGCTGCACACCAAAGCAGTACAACAACAGCTCTGGACAAACATTCTCAGCAATTGAACACGAGACAGAGTATGAATTAGAAACAGTGAATCTGTCCTACACTGCTGGGGAGAGCTGCTGACTGCTGCTAGAAATGCTGGTTCAGGTTGCTAATCCCAAAGGGTGTTTATATGCTGATTATCAACCAGTTTAAAATCTAATTATTTGCTCTGCRGTTWWAAGTTTCTCAAATAAGAATATTTCYTGTGAGGTCCACATGCCCTAACACTATTAAACACCTAAAAACAGTTGCTGTTTTTATAGGTACTGAGCAAAGCGTGCTGAGTCAGTGTCATGTGTTGCTGTTCCTTCTCTTGTACACTAAAAAGTGGGATTTTCATCTGCAAACTGTGTCTTAAAATACCTAGAAATAGAGAAAACATCTAGTCCTTAGTTTTTTCACTTCTTTCTTTTGCAAACAATCTCMTAATATTGAGAAGAGAGTAAAAAATGTTTTTGAACAGATGATCAACTGAAATTTAAGCCACGATATATACAAAAATTCATATTACTTTTTTTATTTACATTAAATATAGCTATGTGACATTTTGCAAAGATAATTGAAGATTTTTTTCAGTTATAACCAAAAAACCCAAAGCTAGGAGAATTTTTTTGACAATTCACAGTTGCCTGGATTGCATATGGTTAAAGTATATAAATGTAAGAGGGGATGTTTTTTATATATTTTTTTGTATTTTTTATCAATAYATGGATTGGCAAAGTTCTCCATGATCTGGCTACTGAAATTGTAAATTGTAAGAGGTAAATGACAAATGAATGTTGATTAAAGAGAAATATTTAAGGTACCAATGTGGGGAAGAGAGATTTCAAGGAAGCCTTTTTTTCCAGCTAAAGGGAATATGCACAGTGATGACATGGTTACACCTACTCTTAGGAAAGAAAATGCATAATTTAGTAATTGCTAAATCACTACAGTAATGCAATGTTTCAGTGAGACAAAGAATAAAAATTCATTTATTTTTCTGAAGGTATAATATGTATAGAGCTTTATCTATTACAGCCACTTGGGAAATTCAATTCCTATGTATGTGATAGGCTGTTAAGATGTTTAACTTCAGAAATGCATGGATGGAAACTCAATTAGGATTTTCTCTAGTGAGCCTCTTAAAATACTATAATTTAGAGCAAACTGTACCCTATTGGGCCCAGTAGCATGCCTTGGGTTCCAGACTCCTCAGTTCCTGATGCCTGGATGTCTGACATCCCAACAGGGTATTTTTTTGGCTCTCTGTCCTGCCATTGTCACTGTGCTGCTTTGTGGGTGTGCAGAGCAGCTTTTGAACATGGTTAAGCTTTCTTCTTGATCTCCAAAGAGAAGTAGCAAGGACAAACGGATGGCATCACTTTTCTGAAATCACATTTATTACAAAGGGAAGAAATAATAATCCAAGGAGATGTGACATTTTTCTTAATAGGATTTTCACCTGCCTTTTATGGATAAAACAGTGCAATAAGGCAAGTAAAAGGCATTGCTGAACTGCAGTATCAAAAGAGGGATTTGGAGAATATTGTCCTGTCTTTATGGAATGGATAAAGTGTATGGGATTACATACACTCTCTAGGTCATTTGGAGACACATTGTTCAARAACTTTTACTTTTATAGCTCAGGCAAAATTTCTAACTTAGCTTTGTTACGCTTTTGAAACATTTTGGTGTTTAAAGAACATAATTTTTGTTTTTCCCTTGTGCTGCTCTACTTTAGAAGTCTTGCTCCTTATAAAACAAGGTTGAGCAGAAAGTTATTCACTTGATAGATATTCTGTCAGAATGCGTGAAATCTTATGCCCTTCTAGAGTATCGAAGTTAATGGCACAAAAATGAGTGAAAAATAAAAATTCCAGCATCAAGACACAGACTGAGACAACCTTAACTCTTCCTTTATTGAGCAGGCAATAGCTGTCAGTATTTACAGGAGCATGTTCCAAATACAGCTGCAAATAATGAGGGGATTTGTTGAAGCTTGCCAGAGGTTGTAGTTATGCTGTCCTGAGTTCTGCCATGATGCTGGCCCTGCTGTCCTTTCCTACTTGTGCACTGTGAGTGTGTACACTCAGACACACTTTTGTGCCACCTTTTGCTTTTGAATTCTAAAGTTTATGGCAATAGCAGGATAAAAGATATGCTGGGGAAGGAGGGAAGCTGGAACGATAACTGCTGTGTGGTATAAAAATARCTGTAAGCAATTCTGAGCAACACCGCAGATTGCATGAAAAATACAGCAGATGTCATGATTCTATGGAGCAGGAAAGTGTTTAAGTGCAGATAGCRCTTGTTCAGTAGCATTTTACTTAAAGATAATATTATTTTACAGAGTAAATTATATAATGTGCCACAGTAAAATAGGGGTTTTTTCCTCAATGTATGCCTGTGTGTGGGGTATAACAGCATTTCTCAAAGAGGTTGGAGTCAAGTTTATGTTAGTGGGGATTTTAACTCCACAGTTGATGATTTTAATGAGTTTGAGTTATGCTGAACTAAAAGGAACAAGATAATTCTGCGTTACTGAAGGGGTTTTTTTTCAGTGAATTGATTTTGCTTTGGTCACGTAATTCAACACTTTCATGAGCTTTTGACCTGAAAGAAGGCAAAGCTTTGCAGCCTTGACTGAATTTCAGAGTGCAGTTTTAGGTTCCTTTGAAGTTGAAACTCAAAGACAAACTCAAGGGATGAACTCCTTGAAGTGAAACAGAGAAAAATGTTTGCATGAAAACCTYATGAATCAAAATGTCTTTGTTCCACAGAGGTCTGGTTATAATATATAGTATGATTGTGAAAACAACAGTTAGTCTAGAGAAATGGAGAAATATGTATTTTGGGGCTGAGACACAGTAGGCACTATAAACCAAAAGTAAACAGCTAGAGGAGAAAAAGTTCCAAATAAATAAATATTAAATAAAAGATTTAATTCCTATTGTCTCTCCAACCATGTACATCAATTACACTTGCTCTCTGTTTTAAGATCATGAAATAATTTGGTTTTTGGAATATGACAATTTTACAGAAAGACTCTTCACTTTTCAGAGATACACCAAAATCTCCAAGCTTTGTGTCGACTCTCTTGTAATTTCTCAGAGGCTTAAGCTGCTATTCAGAGGAAATGATAATTTGTTGCATCCAGCTACAGCTGAGTCCCTGGAGCCCAAAGGCAAATTAACCAAAACTACTGTAAAGCTGTGTTTCTCATTGTATGTTAAATATCCTAGGAATCTCCCAGATTCTCTCAGCAAAGAGATATTCATGCCCAAGGAATTGCTGTGGCCTGATAAATATCAGAGTAGMGCATTGATTTTACCATTAGGCAGGACTAGAAGATAAATGAATGTGTTTACTTAAAAATAATGATTTACAGTGATGAAACATTTACAAAATTATTTAAAAATTAATTGAGTTATAATTAACAACAAGTATMATCCTTACTAGCCTTATTGTATTATCTATATTTTAAGCCCTGACTAATTAACTTTTACAGCCTACCAAAGGCAGGACTGTTCATGCAGGTTTCCCAGTGATGCTTTTCTAGAGTCTATTGATGAAAGGTTCCTGAAATCTTTGAGAATGGGAGGAGCTCATTTTCCTGATTACTTCTCATCTCCATCACTTTGCACGAGTTTATTCACCAAATTTTAAGTTCTGATAGTCTTCCTTCTGTTTACACTTTTTTTTTAAAACAGAGTGGTATAATTATTAAAATTGTGCATTAGGACACCTAATGATCATTCAAGCTTCTTTTTCTCAGATTTTTTATAATACAATTCAAAGCAAGCTTTCTCTAAATTYACATTTTAGAGAAATACAGAAGAGGATTTACAGCATTTACCATGACAGTGAGGTATCTACCTTCCACATCGTGCATAAACTTTGTTACAGTTAGGAAAAAAAAACCAGAAGTACCTTGTTTGATTTCCAGTAACAAAAATAMTTAATTTGCACTTAAAAATTAATCTGAATGATCATAGAATCGTATAATGGTTTGGGTTGGAAGGAACCATAAAGATCATCTAGTTCCAACTCCCCTATGGTGGGCAAGGACACCTTTCATTAGACCAGGTTGCTCAGAGCCCCATCCAACCTGGTCTTGAACATCTCCGGGGATGGGGCACCCACAGCTTCTCTTGACAGCCTGCTCCGGTGTCTCACCACCCTCATTAGGATTAAAGAATTTCTTCCTAATATCCAGCCTAAACCTGCCCTCTTTGCATTTATAACCATTCCCTCTTTTCTCATGAAAAGTCCCTCTCCAGGGACTTATAGGCTCCTTCAGGGCCTGGAAGACACTATAGGGTCTCTCCAGAGCATTCTTTTATGAAAGATAAGTTTTTTTCAAGTTATTCTTAATTTTGCCTTAAAACACTGTTCTTACTTTTACAATTGTACAGATTCCCTCAAGAGTATCAGACAAGAAAAGGTTTTCTCATAAASCTTCAGTTAGTCCATAGGAGGGACTAGCATCCAGATCACATCTGTTGGGTGTTAATTCTGTAAAACAGTAGGAGAAATAAAACCTTTAATTCTCCTGTCCCAAGAAGAGGCATTAATTACATCAAAATATACAGAGAATCCAACTCTGCTGTGAAAGAGCATACAGGATTATTACATTTTTAGATTGGCAGCTTGCAGTAAGATTTTTTTTCAAAATGGGTATTTGAAACAATGTAGTGATTATTGGTTTCCATATACAGGAACTTGACCTCTGAATTCTTTGTCTTCTCATAGCTTATTGGAAGCAAATGTTACCCTATGTTTTAAAACCTGATGC